ATGATTAGAAAGAGAACTAGAAAAATCCTGATCTGTCGATTTAGTCTGAGGAAGGTTTATTCCATTCAGGTTTATCTCAATTTCATCACGTTCATTTAACCTTTGCACTGTGCTTGATATAGCGTTGAATGCTCTACAATCTTCCATAGACATAAACGGGTCTTTGGATTCAGTTGAGTACAACTGCTCAAACTTATCTTCCAGTTCCTCCTTAGCCGAGAGGTGATTAAGTGCACGGTTGTTATCAATGAATTCCCCGTAAGGACCGAACAGCGTCCAACCCAATAAGGTCTTCACAGCAGACGGCTCATCTGTCTTTCCAGTTCTCATCTCCTTCGTCTCGTGTACTCTCGGTACATTACACCCGATCAACAGTTTAACATCCTCATCTTCTACTCTCGGGAAACTTACGTCCTTTAAATAGGACCAGGATGCCATTTGACGCGCCGTTGGTACAGTTCTGTGAACTGCCGGTAGTTTTCTGACTGTCAATACCTTCTGGATCTTAACAGATGATGAGAAGTCTATAGCGTGCAACTCTACATCTACCTCTTTAGATACCAATGATGATTCGTTATTTATAGTCTTTAAAGACACAGTTCTCGGCTTTCCCTCGAGGCCTAAATTATCAGCTAGATCTTCTACTATTAGAGAGGTGTCTGACCCACTATCTAGAAAGGCGCACGTCTGCATAATTCTCTCACCGTTTTTTATCCACACAGGAACTACTGCAAATGCCACAGGCCTCTGTATGCCCTTAACATCTTCCTCTGTACAAATCTGAGAATTAATGCAGGCATCACTAATAATATCTCTTCGTTCTTCCTGCTTCTCATGTAACAGAGTATGATGTCTCCAGCCACATCCCTCAACAATACACGACCTTGGCGATCGACAATTCTTTGCTATATGGTTTGGTTTCAGACAATTATTACATAATTTATGCTTAAAGACGAACTCTTTCCTTTCTTTAACATTCTTGTTTTTAAACTTCTGGCACTGATCCAAGAGGTGATTGCTTGAGCAATCTGGACAAGGTGAATTATATAAGGAAGTATTGCTGTCATTAATGCTTACATGTGCTACCGTCGCTATGTTGTAACTTGCGGCAGCTTTCCCTTTTAAAGCATCAAAACCTCTTTTGTCGACATTATCGCTGCGGTTGACAAGCAGGCCGTATCTAGTGTTAGCTATATCTGACTGTTCTTTAACAAATTCACAGAGGTCATTGAATGAAGGCTCTCTACCCGTCTTGAGAATTCGACATGCTACTTTAACCCATTCTCTCTGTAGGTGTGGTGGAAGTTTTAAAAACATGCTTTCGATGGTTTTCGTAGAATTAAGATCGGACAGGTAGTTCATTTGTGTGAGCGTAAGCTCACAGACATACATCTCACGAGCTAGCCTTCTTAAACTATTTGAGTCGGTTTCTTTAATAGCAGGGAAGTTCAACATCTTGTCGATAAATGCACGGGCAACTACGTGTTTCTGACCGAATGCTTCCTCAAGAAGCTCTAACGCTTTACGATAACCTTCTTCCGGTTGAAGCAATGTACAATGAACAATGGTAGCTTTAGCTTCACCATCACAGTATTGAATCAAGTAGTTTAACTTAGATCGAGGTCCGACGCTTTCATCAAAACAATCCTCGAAATTTCGTATGAAACTCCAGTAGTTCATAGGATTACCATCGAACCTTATGATTTCTCGCTTGGGTAGATCTAAAGCTTTGGATATCATTCCTATCCAGCCCTTTCCTGCACTATCAGCTGTACGCGAAACGGATGTAGATTCGAACGACATAAACTTTTCATCCTGAATTTGGTTACAATATTCTTTTCCTCTTTGTCGTAGTCGTTCTAACTCAATTTCCTTTTCTAGATGAGCTAAACGTACTTTAGCTAATTCTAATTCCAACAAAGGATCCGTTCGGAGGCTATTTCTTCCAAACTGATCTTCACTATGAGTTTCTGAATATTGTGGAGACAATTCAGGAATCTGATCACTCTTATGATCCTCGGTAGACATTTGAAGATATTCAGTATATGAACCTTTGATGAATTACTGTCCGAAACTATGTAGGATTTAATTTGTCCTACAGATGTAATTCTAAAACGTAAACGCAAATACCGCCGATGACAGAGTCCAGAGTGAAACTATAGTTAACAGAAGACAATTCGGTATTAAACTTTATCTGTTTCTAAACAAAAAGAAAACGATTAATTTAGTACAATAAATAAGGAAATTACAATTATCAAGCAGGATGAGCAAACGTACCGGACAGTATAGCGTGTCTTTAGAAAATGAATAAAAAACATGAGTCACATCTATATAAAATAAAATAATAACATCCTTCAATCGATAGGCCGTTCACAACAAGAAAGTCCATAGACCGGTCAGACTAGATGACGTGGTGAGCGCTTAACCAATCTGATTGGTTAGTTATGACATAACTACAATTAGTTATAAAATAACTAACAAACGTTTTACTTGTTTCACTTCTGTTTGATTGCTAATGACAATGAACAAAGTTGTAAATAGTTAAGTCATGAAAATATATCGCACATTGTGAAAATTGTTTACTTACTTTAAAATGGAGATATAGTGTTTTTCAAATTAAATCATGTGTATCCTGTATATTTTTTCTCTCCTAATATTTTCATCTATTTATGTGTTTGTTATTGAATGTTTGATTCAAAATGATGATAGAAGTAATGATGTTATCTACTGTAGATATTGAAATTTATTTATGTTACGCATGAATGTAAATTAAACATGTCATTTTGATATGCTTGAACTATTACGAGTTCATTCTAGTCAGTGAACAAGAACGAAGATCGAGGATCCGGCGACAGGACATGCTACTCTAATCCGTGTGTCCCAACCCCGACTGAATGAAAGAAGAAGACTTAATATGAAGTACAACCTATATTCTACAAACATCCAGAAAGTACAAGGTCCGAAACCAGAAGAGAATCAGGATCCCCGACTACGGATCTGGGACTGAGTCCTGGTCATAAAACGTTACAGATAATGCGTAGTTATACATTTAGGTCAAATAAGAAACAGCATCGAAGTCTGTGACGTTGACAGTTAAGACGACCAATAGGACGCAACATTTGAAGTGACATTGATAGTCAAGACAACCAATAAGAAACAACATTGGAGTACGTGGCAATGATATCTAGGACGACAATAAAATTGACCAATAGGAATTGACCAATAATTCTCTAAGGATATTGGGTGAATATCCTAACAATTTAAAAGGAATCAGTTGATAGGAAACTTGTTGATAAGTTCACAAAGTAAATGATTATATATTGTGGCTAAATTTGCATCACTTACCATTTCTATTTCGATGTTTCTAATTAGAGGATAAAAATATCTCAGTATGATCTAACATAACAGATACCGATGCAGTTTAGATTTAGTTTGTCTTACTCCAATTTGAATAACAGATTTTCATCACTTCAGTAGATAGTAATAAATAAACATCACTTCCAAATAATGTTTCTTAATTATCAAATTAAGAAATAAAAATAACAAACAACTTGCACACAAAAATCAAATGATTTTTAAATTGCTATTTCCATTCATCGAAACTATTCAATGTTGAACAGAGAAATGAGAAGACATATTTTTTGAGATAGTACCATTTCGTGCTTTCTCATCAGTCACATACATACAAGCAACATGTTATTTGTGTAAATACAGTTTTTGAGGATAAGGTCAAAATTTCTTATTTAGTATGACATTCACTCACTAGAACCATGGTAAACAAAGGTCAACATACAGTTGTTTTTGAACACATAAAGTTGAACTTTTCCGACCAATCAAGATAGCTTCGAGTAGTTTCAGTGTGTGTGGGTTTTGATGACATGTCACAACTCTAAAAGCTGATTTTGGGTCAATTTGATGACCACTCATCTTTAGATGTTTTGCAATGGACGAGGCTGGGTTTCTTGATCGATTTTGAGATGATGGGCTAGGTTGATGAATCATGGATTTGATTAACCATCTTGGAATATGTTCCCCTATCCTGTCTTCCAATCGGCGATCTGTCCTCCCTAAGTAACTTTCTCCGCAGTTACATGTGAATCGGTTAATACAGTGGGATTTGGACTGAATCGGTCTTGGAGACTTGATTGGGGTAACTGAGATCGGTTGAGTTGCTGTGATAAGCCTCAGATTAGCTGCATTGAAGGTCTTTTTTATTGCAGCTGCAGTCTGTTTGGTTGTAATTTTCATGCAATGATCACCCTTGAAAGGTAACTGTAGGTACACTGGTTTCTTGGGCACATCAGTTGCTATCAGCTTCGTTGTAGTTGTGTTCTGATGACCAATAAACGTTTCGGGATATCCGTTTGATTTAAGTGTGTCAGTAATAAGCTTGAATTCGTCGTTCAATGGTACTATCTCACAAAATATATCTTCTCATTTCTCTGTTCAAATTTATCAAACGGAACCACTGTTTTGATATTCAATGTTGGTTTGTGTAACAGAATGCAATACACAGTTGAAAATAAAAATTTCAGAGTTTTTTAGAGTATACTTTATGCAAGGAAATCCAAAAAACTTAGAGAGCACACTGTATTGGGTTTTTATGATCTCTTGTGAGTAATAATCAAACTCTGAAAGCCATTCTCAATGAATACGTCGTTCTTATTGAGTAAACAAGTCATGTCAGAGGTTATTCATTTTTGAAATAAGCCAGTAACAATTAATGTGAATAAATACTTCATCGAGTACACATAAAACTAGTAGCTAGTCTATTTCTTTATGTGGCATGAATTTGATTAGGTTAAAAAATGTAGGCAGTTTAATTCTATCTTATCACCTACTGAACATTAAATTATTTTTAATTTTATTATGAATACTACTTATATACTTTATCAGTAGTGTTTGTATAATATATATAATATTATGAATTTAATAGGTATTTAATCCAATATTCAAAGTTTCATTCAGATTTGTTTGTATTGTTTACATTGATTCTATAGTTTGTTATAAGAAAACATGCAGCTAAACGTTTATATGAATCACGTCATCGACGATCAGGTATTTTACAAGGCAAAAAATCACCATCATGTAGTTCGAATGTTTCAAGTAAATTCTCTCCAATACTACAAACACATCCATATTTATTTCCTGTAGGAAATACAATTGGATGTTCAGTTAGTAGAGAATTATCACGATTTTCTACTAGTCCAAGTTGTTTAGATAAAATTTCATCACATCGTCGACTGACAAGTTATAATGCTCAATCAAATGAAAGATTATTGAACAATACCGATAAACAGTAAGTTGAATTTTAACCGAAAGGAAAATAATACAATAGCTTTATATAAGAAGTAATTCTATTTGAGTGAAATATTATGAACGTGAAGAATTGGGTTTTTTTTATCGCTTGGGTAATATTTACTGCATCTGATGATTTGAATTTGAATAGTAAACTTGTTCCTTAAAGCAGAAAGGTCCTGGGTTCGAATCCTGCGAAGTGCAGGATTCGTGGATGCGCACTGTTGAGGAGTCTCATACCAGGACGAAACGGCCGTCCAGTGCTTCCAGGTTTCTAATGGTGGTCTAACATTGATCGATTCAAAGGTTTCAAATAAAACTTAACAATCTTTACAACAACCCCGTAATGCAAGTATAAATAATATTCTAATGTGAATTATCAACCGGCAACAGAATGATTCCTCTATTTAAACTAGTTGGGATTGGTGTAATGGAGACAGAATTTAAAATTTCAACCAGTTAATGCGATGCAAGAACCACTGACTATCTGATTCATTTTGAGTTATTCTGTTATGCCAATAGATCTAATGGAAAGATTGTTTACAATGCAGATTAAATAAAATAGATACTTGATGGTACATTACAGGTGGTTATTTCAACCATCTTGGTTGCCACCATATGTCCAGTAGTAGTCATAGGTTTGTTCAAGATTCATATCACACACCAAGAAGGAACATTTGATCAATATTTTTCAAAGTTACAATCTTCTACATTTGATGTCAGTTTAAGATTAAGATTAAGTTAAACAATGTTATTTAAGCTTTTATAACTGTAATACAAAAAGATTCTACAAACTAATCTATATCCTCGTGTTGAAATAAATTTACTTCAATCAAAGGAATCTCTATGAACTGTTTCATGGTTGTTTCGTATAGTTAAAAGTGACATTTTGCAATGGTTTGTTTCAAATTATATCTTGATATAAACAAATTTATTGTTCCTTTTCTACCCATCAATATATTTGGAAATAATCCACCATATTGACATTTTGTACAGATGTAAACACTGTAACATTCAATATTCAAAGTCACATTTTTATTGCATTATTTTTTTGAGCAAGATTTTGTTATAAATAAGCTTAGTAAATGCTAAATATATCTACGTGTAATATAAAATATTTCTTGTCAAATACTGTTATTAATTTTACACATTTTTGAAACCATGAACCGATCAATGTTAGACCACCATTAGAAACCTGGAAGCACTGGACGGCCGTTTCGTCCTGGTATGGGACTCCTCAACAGTGCGCATCCACTAATGACTAGCTTCGTGAAGAATCTTCTCCGAGTTCGAGTGGGAAGACGTGACCAGTGAAGTTCAACCTGTTCGGGTGTAGACAGTAACTACCGAAGACTGTGTATGAGGTTGCGCAACTCCGTGAATTTGATCAAGTTAGACATTAACACCGTTAGATACCGGCTCAGTGGTCTATCGGTTAGGGCGTTCGCGCACAAAGCCGAAGGTCCTGGGTTCGAATACTGCGGGGTGCAGGAGTCGTGGATGCGCACTGCTGAGGAGTCCCATACCAGGACGAAACGGCCGTCCAGTGCTTCAAGGTTTCTAATGGTGGTCTAACATTGATCGGTTCATGGTTTCAAAAAATGTGTAACTTAACAATCTTTATTTATTAATGTTAGTATGAAATATTTTGGTGATTTCAAATTTGTTTCATTTTTTGTTTTAAATTATTGTAGCCGGTATTTTTGAAATATATATGATTGTAAATGATTGTTGTTTTTTGTTTACTTTTATTAAAGATACCTAACAACATTAATGGATAGTGTGGAACAGTTTACAGAAAGATGGGATAATATTTTGGTATGTTGTTCAGTGAAAAAATCAAATGTATACAAAGATTTTAATTTGTCTAAGTGGAAGTTTCATTTTTCTGGTGTTTTTGCACTTATGTTAAACATGATTACTGTTTGTAAAAAATGGATCACTGAAGTATACTAAGGTTTTACATAGGATAAAAGGGTGATGATTTACGTGACTCAACGTACAGTAACATATGTTACCCAGATAAACAAACCGTTTAGTTAGGTTTCCTTGTTATATTATGGCCCTTATTAATGTAGACAGAATTGTAAGAACTATCTAGGGTTTTTTGTTTCGAATTTTTGATAAGTGAGATAGTTAATATCACGCTACAGAGTGGAAAAACTAAACATTTTAGACATAAATTAATCTTTAATAACTACAAATCAGATAACATGTTATAACATGTTAATATAAATTAATAGCTGTATAACGCTTTCTATTATGTATAAGAAAATAAAGACTGTTAGCTGATCTTAAAACAGCCAAATTCCTTTGTTGAAGCAATCGATTTCCCCTAAATGTAGGAAACATGTTGTGCGAAAAATTAACTATGTATAAAGTACGAATTTCGATACACGCCAAATGGACATCTGATCAAAAATGGATGCGCACTACTGATGAGTACCATACGAGGACGAAACGGCCGTTTTTCAGTGCTTCCAGGTTTCTAATGGTGATCTAACACTGATTGATTGATGATTTCAAATGTGTAAAAACACAAAACCTCCAAAACTCTGCCCGAAAACATAATATATAAATTGATTATCATTAAAATGGTTCAAACTTCTTGATGTTAAGTTGAAATCAACAAATGACCTTAGTCAGACAAACCGTTTGAAATGTGATAGCACTAAACAGCTGATTCATCCTGGGATACCAGTATTCAGCAAGGCTCATCCATGAGCTCGCAAACAATTAAGAAAGAATCTATGACCTTTAATTTCTCAAGTCGAGTTGTTATATCTAGACTTTACTTTCATAAATCTACACTAATCAAATTATCCTCTTTTATTTTCTTTAACATTTTATTACATATTCCAATTAGATGTCACTAGTTGATAGTCATCGTAAAGAATTATTACTTTTAAAAGAAAATTTAATTCAACAATGTGCAACAAATCAAAATTCTCTATGATTTGTACAGAAATAAAAAATAAAAATAAAAAATAAAATAAAGAATAAAACATTTTCATTGATGATAATTATTGTCTTCCATATAGTAATTTTATTTTTTCATTTAATGATTCATATTGAAATTTGAAAATTTGGAAAAAGTATACAAAAAAAATGAATTCGAATTTGAACTGTAATCTTCTTATACTTTCTGTTATATAATTTTATCACAATACATACACTTATTCAATTCTATTTTCTTTATTTAATTTGTAAAAAAGATGTGTATAATAAAATAGAATAAATGTATATTTTTTTTGAAATTACCATTCTTGTTAATGACAGTGATGACTATGTCTAAATAAAATAATTGACAGTTTAGATTTATCAGATTTCATGAATGAATTTTACATGATCACTATATTGAATAAATAACTTACAGCGTTTCAAACTGGTTTCGTGGTCGTTTGGAACCTTAAAGTCAAAGGATAAGATGTAGACAAAGCAACAGACTATAGTGAGAATCGGGAATAGAACTTAAAAGGATGAACAGTAATTGTTTAGAGCAAGAAAGGAAGGGCCAGGACAGAATTGGTTAGAGTATGCTAACTGGTGGCCTTTGTTTAATCAGGGATCACAGGGGTAAACAACTATGTAAGTAAAGTAATTTAGGCTAATCAGGTGAATATATGCTTCGACTGTAACACTTCATCAAGCACAAATGATTATAGAGATATGAGAATAACAGTGTAAAGAGGATATGAAGAAACTGTTATCAACATAAATGAAAATCTCTTAAAAGGGTAAATAAAGGGCTCGATAAATTTGAATGTGTACAAATCCACTCTAAGTTGAGAGTGCTATACAAAAAATCCTTAACAAGCTATGAAAGCAACCGATATTCATTCAATGTATTGGTGAATAAGTGGTCACGAATTACAATTGTCTACTTTTCGAAAAGAATAGGGCAAACATTTTCACGAAAATTAATTTCTAACACATAACTAGGGTTTTTTTTAACTTTGCAACCGGAAGAGAATCCAATGAAAAAAATATTCTTCATTCATATATCTATGTCTGAATAAGATGAGAATATTTCAGAGAAACTATTTTTCCAAGGAATCGATTATTGAATAAACTTTGAAATTATTTCAATTTAAATATGAAGAGTTTCATGTTAGACTGAACATACACATTATATGGAATCTGAAATTATTAATTTCAGACAAATTACTTTCAGTCAGTTAAAATCAATTACCATGGATCTGAATATCTAAGAAAATAAGTAAAATTGAGCATAAATAACCTTATTCATCTATTGTGACCATTGAATTTGTTATGTACCAATTATGGGTATTGAAATAATCAACATTTTTTGTCTTTCACTTAAACATAATAGGCTATTGGATTAAAACTTTATGAATATGGAAATTTCTGTTTACATAAGTTGAATAATTCACTGCAATTTTCAATAGGTATATTTAAATACAAAAGTTAGTGAAATATTTTTTTCAGTTTGTTCAATGTCAATGTAATCGCCAACTAGTGGATTTAAACAATCAGCTCTCAATGTGTTTAAATCCAATTTTCATCTTGTACGGATATTTAAAATAAAATTGTATTAACTATTGTTTGAAATAAACTTAAAAAATCATTATCAGTTGTATTCTGAAGAGGAGTTGCTTCTAGTGTACAAACTTAATGATATTTATGAGTCATATAATAATATTAATATACTGTGAAAATTTTGACTCCTTGTACAGTTACTGCCGGTCCTAAAACCAGAAAGAAAATGGGAGTTGGACGTCCAGACAGCAACCGCGTTCCCCAGAAAACAACCTTGCTAAAAAGACGCTCACGAGAAAATTCCACTTAAGCTAAACAAAATCAACCCTTAAGGTGGAAGGTTATCATTTGAAAGAGTTATGACAACTAATGATGAAAATCGAAGTGCTTCCAAAGTCACAAGTTCAAGGATTCTCCTGGCAACCAGAGCAACAGTCAACATAGATAGGTGGGATTTATGCACAATGACAACAGTGGAGTTGATGAAAATCAGTTTTCTGAGAGGCTGTAGTCGATCCTAGAGAAATCCCCAGAAGAAGACATGACCGGGTTGATAGGGAACCTAAACAATGAGGTCAAATTGGACAACAGCAGATATGAAAACGCCTTAGGACAACATGGACTGGTAGAAAGGAACGAAAACGGAACGAAGAAACGAAAACCACAAATCTATGTGGTCATTTCTGGACCACATTCTCACACAATCCCATTCACGAAGTTCCATGTGTTTCACCGGGTCACACTACAGATGATCAAATCGTTCACAACTGATTCATTAAAAAATTCAGATGGACAATGGAGGACAGGAGAAAGAACAGAGGAGTTGACATAGCTTCAGGTCACCATCTGGTGTTGGCCAAGTTGACAGTGAAGTTAAAGAAGCGTGGTAAAACTGAACAAACAACACTGAAAAGCTTGATACAACCTTTTTGGGGATACTGACAAACTCAATAACTTTAGGATTGATTTTGGTAACTGGTTCCAAGCCTTATAAGATTTACTCAAAGATCAGGAAACCACTACTGGGGACAACTGTACAGGGATTAAGGATCAGTAACTTTGAAATATTAGAATGTGCTGGGTCACGAAAAAATACCAACACAAAAAATAGATCCCTAATGATTCTCTGTGAAAGATTCAAGAAAGGAAGAAGAAGAAAACAGCAATCAACGGAAGCGTAACATGAGCGGAGGAAGATAAGGCATAAACCAATTACACAAAAGGCAGCAAACGATCAGAAAGAAGAATTAGGGTTAACAAGCGGGAACATGTAGAATACCAACCAATGACAACAGAAAAAGCTGCGAGAGGAAGAAATTTGAGGCAATTATTTGATACAGTGAAAGAGCTTGCTGGAGAACATCGAAAACCAGAATGACCACTCAAGAACAATGGAAGTAAACCAATCATTGAGTTTCATGGGCAGAAGAGCAGGTAAAAAGAACACCTTTCAAAGCTGTCTAATAGGTCAGACAAAATGAACCAGCATAATGTCGAAATATCACAGACGGTCTTATAAATGTTACCACACTAACAACTGACGAAATGAGCCTGACCATTAGTCAAGTCAAACATGATAAGCAAAAGTACCAGACGGTGTATGGACTCGAGCGCTGAAATCAGACATAAGAATAACTGAAGAGACACTCTTCGTTCTTTCCAGAGAAATTTGAGATAAAGAACAGATACCAAGAGACTGTAAAGAAGTTTACTTCAGCGAGATACCAAAGAAACGAGATCTTAGTAAGTGTGAAAAATACAGAGCCATCACTACATTATCAGTGACAGGAAAAGTTTTTAACAGTGTTGTTGGACCGAATGGAAAACTGAGTAGACATCTAACTGTGAGATCAGCGTGCTGGATTCTGTAAGGATCTATAATATACCGACTACGTCGTGACTTTACGGATCATTGTGGAACAATAAGTTGAATAAAGCCCATTATTATACTTCAACTTCCTTGATTATGAGAAAGTATTCGGTAGTGTAGACAGGAAAACACTGTGGAATCTCTTTCGACGCTTTGGAGAACTGAAGAAGATAGTTGTCATAATGAGAAACTCCTAAAATAATTGAATTGCTAAGTTGTGAATGGAGGGCAGCTCTCAGATACATTCTAAGCAAAGACTGGTATTAAGTAAGGCCGCTTACTCTCATCTTCCTCTTTCTTCTAGTGGTTGGCCGGATCAGACAAAGGACAAAGAACACAGGGGAAAGCTTTTAAAGCAGCTAGAAGATTTGGCTCTCTCAGATGAATTAGATCTTCTATGACAGAGACAGTAACAAATGCAAGTGAAGACAGATAGAGTAGTAGCAGCCTCTGAGACAATAGCTTCCAGCATACAAGAGAGAAAAGCAAGATCCTGAAATAAAGCACAGATGGAATCAAACCACACTAGACGGCGAAGCTCATAGGCAGGTAATGAATTTTTTATACCACGATAACATCATTGAAATACAAGAGGGTTTCTAGTGCATATGTGAAGACTCGGATCAACAAAGCGAAAGTAACATGCCTACAAATCTGTTTACATAAAACCCAAACAAGATTTCAACCACAACCAAAGTCAAGTTCCAGGGAGAATGTTTTGATAGTTCTGTTTTAGGGAGTTTTAGGAGCTGGTAACTAAAGAACTACTGCGACCATCATCAAAAATGTACAGGTATTCGCAAACACTTGTCTATAAAAGGTGCTCCATATCCATTGGCCAGGACCATCGGTGACAATATACTGAGGCAGTAAATCATTCAGATGCCAAATGATGAAGAAATTAAAAAAAGGCGATGAAGGTTGATGGGACTTATATTGCGATTATCGTTAAAACTGCATCATGTGGTGAGGACTGATATGGAATCCCCAAGGTGTAAGTAATATTTCAGGTTTTATTATCATTTACCAGAAAGGCAATCAAAATTTCGGGGGAAATAAATCTTTCCAAAATCACACGATTCACTGTCACCAAAATATTTAAAATTCAGCAAAAATACTCACCAATCTATAGTTGTATGGATAAACATATATCACTCCAGTAATTTATGGAGGGAATTTTACAATTAAAGTATATTTGAATGTCCGATACATTTGGGGTCAACCAATCTAATGTCATCGGATTGACAAAATCATCCTGGTTTTTTGAGATGGTAAGAGAAATTTAAATTGGTTAACACTTATTTCGAACACTTAGAGACGTAGTCACAAATCACCATTGTATTAGAAAATTAGAGACTATTACAAACAGAAATATATTGTAAGGAATGAATATACTTCAGTCTAAAAAATAACTCATACATCATTGAAGATAAAGATATGCATATTAATTTCTGAAAGAAAGTATTGATTTAATCAACAGTCAATAAGATCAAAAGAAGTCATAGGTTCCCTAATATCGCTCAATGATTGTTAATGAACCTTCTAATAAACATTATCACTAAGAAAGTATCCTTTCGATCAAAAGTATTTTTGACAATGTTCATCTAATAACTAATAATCTGGTCATAGGTTATTTCTGCTTAACGCTAAGCTTATTCCACTCAGTATTTATCGATAGTTATCTGCGAAAATCGTTGCGTTTGCATGGTTCTTACCAGTAGTTCTAGGAAACGTGTGATGGCTTGCAATGTCAACACTTCATTTTGATATAAATATTATACTACTTGCCAGTAGTTTGAATCCTTTTCCAGCTTATTTGCTACCACTTATACAGCTCCATCACTTGTTCGCTCTTCCAGG